TCATTCTATGTTGGATATATAGAATAGAATAGAATAGAAACAGCCTTTATTGCCCCACACAGAGACATTCAGGTGTAGTAGCAGCAGCAGGTACATACATCAGTCCACAGAAACAGTATATTGCTGTGATATTATCAACTGTAGTAATAATAATAGAATTAAAGAGAGTAAATAAAAAATAAACAGATCAAAAATAAATGTAAGAATAATCATTACTGTAACAGGCTATCAAGATGAAATTAGATAAAAATGAAAAATAAGGCAAGATACTGTGCAGAAAAATATAAATTAGAGGAAAAAACAGTCATGACAGACCCATGATCTGAGAGGGTGTGCAAATTGATTCAAACTCAGTCAAGTCCAGTAAGGAAATAACGATGTCCAATTGCCACTGGTTATTATTTATTTATGTAATGATTCAGAGGTAGAGTTGTTTGATGTACAAACACAAATATGGATGCTTATCATGATTGTTGCAAGCGGTGATGGTTATAGAGTCTAACAGCTGATGGGAGGAATGATCTGCGGTAACGCTCCTTTTTGCATTTAGGATGCAGCAGTCTGTCACTGAAGGAGCTCTGCAGTTCAGCCACAGTTCCATGCATTGGGTGGGAGACATTATCNCTTGCTGATCATTGCAGCCAAAAGGTTTAAAACAGAGAATGAAAGTTTGTGTGTATCTGATTGATGTGTTCTTTCTGTAGTATAAACAAAAGTTAGTTAAGTTCTGACGTCTGACGTAAAAGTTACCACCTCCAGGGGTGTAACCAGGAAGAGATGTACATTATTATATGAGTAGAAGTTTTGAGTAGTGCAGAGAGTCTCTGCTTAGATTCAGTCTGCTGGCCTGCTTTGTTTGGGTTTTCAGACACGAGCTCAAAGGCCTTACGCTGAGGCCTGTGCTGAGTACTGCTGTTTGGACCTGATTGGAGCCAGATGAGAATAAAGATGTTTAAAGATATCCAAGTGGGTTCCTGCTATTATTCAGACTTCCATTTTTGAACAACGCTACATCACAGCTCGTTTGCTCCGTCAGGTTCACTATAATTGGCTGAAAGCCTATTAGTGCTGTGAGGGGATTCTTGTTCCATCTTTCTATCAATTTGGGGGGTCTCAGACTGAAAAACATTGAAGACCCCTGCTTTAGACCCGTCAGTTTCACGTGCCATTGAAGTTCCAGCAGAAATGAAACTCCTGCAGAAAGTGTCTCAGGCTGCAACAAAGTGCTACAGCTAGCTGCTGATGCCGCTGTTTGATTTAGAAAATAACCACTAATTTCTATGTAAAACTGTAATGCAGAAATTACATTGGTATGAAAAAAACTGAAAAGCAGAGATTGCTTGAAATGCTACTAAAGATTTGAGACTGGTGTTTAAAAGCCAAAAAATTTCACTTTGGTCTTKGTTTCACWYAGAACAGCTTGTTAATTTGGCAAAAACCAAACAATTTCAGAGATTTTTAAAACATATCGACTTYGGAAATATTAACTGGTCACAACTTTTACACAGAACACAACTAAAAAAAAAACATCCAAATTACAGTGACATAATCATGCCATAATTTTCGCGCAAGTAAACAAAATCCTGCATGGGCAAATTAATATTCTGTGCGTACAAATTCCTATCCGAGCATGCAAAACTGACACCAGCGAGAGGAGAGTACAGATTTCTGCAAGTGTAAATAGAGATCGGYGCGAGAGGAGAAAGTGTGCTCGCTCGCTGTTAACGTTACTTTTATCAGTAGGTGGGCGGATCCATTGRGCATTCTGTTGCTACACATTATTGGTTACAGTCTCTGTCCTCTGATTGGACAGCATTTCTTTTTCGAAGAAACTTTATTAAACAAACTGCAAGGGCAGACAATAAGTTATTTATCTTTTGCAACGCATAATATTTTGGGTGTCACACAACATATCCTTAACATTTATTTAAAATATTTTAGTAACTTTCCTTACATTGCTGCTGCTATCAGGCGGCAGCATATAGTTGTAAACCTGACGACTAGAATTGTTCTACACACACGCAAGCAGATCTCCATTTACACTCGCGGAAATCTGTACTCCCCTCTCGCTGGTATCAGTTTTGCRTGCATAGAGTATTAATTTGCTCGTGTTGGATCTTGTTTACTCGCGGGAGAGTTTTGGCATGATTTTGCCACCATACAACACTTGTTTTAAAAATAAATCTTCTGGTAAATAAATGTATTTACATTTTTAAAAAATGAATGTTTAACATGTGGTATTGTTGTAAAGTGTTTATCAAATGTTAATCAAATGTTACAATTTTGTTTTTTGATCCCAAATTGTTTGTTTTTACTTTTTAAACATTATCTTAAAAAAACACAAGTGAGGTTTTCTTACACCTAAATGTAGGTACAAAATCACCTTTTTGACACCTTTTATGTATGTTTTAAGCTTTTCTTGTATCAGAAGAGGTGACTTACATTGTTTAACTTTTAGAGTTGAAACTTTAGATCAATCAAAAATAAAGTCTAAAAATAACCTGAACTTTAGCTCACCTGTGAAGCTGCAGGCCTCAGCAAGAAGGAAGGTGCTCCACGACATGAGGAAGAAGAGCGCCGTCTCCAGCAGAGGGAAGCAGTGCAGCTTGGTGAACTTTGTGACGTTAGAACCCAGTTAAGAACCACGCGGTTTGACCTCCTTTTAACCACAACAACAAAACACAACACAGCAGAGGGTGGTTCTAATGCAGARCAAGGATATGAGAGCCGTGACGACTCCTGTAGCTGCCCCCATCAGGAAGGAGCCGCTGAAGATGCCCAGAAACACACCCACCGACTTGAAAAAGGCAGAGGCGTCAAATGTGTGTGTGTTTCCACCGGTGGGCTGGTAGGCCACAATGGACCTGAAACACAAAACAAATCTGAGACTAAAGAACATGGGAAAGGTTCAGTGTGGAGRAGCTGAGCATTCATTTCTGTGAGAAGGGAAAATAAAGTGTCGGAATTGTTCTTCATGAAAAACAAGATTTTCTAGCAAAAAAAAAAATCGGTTTATTAATGTACTGTACTCTATCTACTGGGGAGAAAACTACAAGGTCTAAAATCTTCCCATTAGAGGGAGATAGAGCGCAGTCTGTGTGTGTGTTTGTGTACACACATGCACAGGTCTTGCTATCTTTTTGTGGACATTTTTGGGCCATTAGGAAACCCATGTGTTGACGTTGGAAAACCTCATTGGTGGGTAAGGGTTAAGGATCAGTGTTAATGCAAAGCGTCACAAAGACAGTGAAACACATGTGTGTACTTTATTTGTTACCTTTTCAGCATTGTTTCTGGTACACACACCTACATTGTCAACACCAGTGGTCCTTATGGGGACCAAAGACCGGTCCTAATATGGTGGTAGTCCTAAACTCCATAGGTCAGGGGTTTGGTTAAGTACTAAGGTGTGAATTGAGTTTAGGCTGAGTTTAGAGTTAGGTAAGTACTAACTGTTTATGTTAGTGTATGKGAAGAAGAGCAGCAACACAAAGCTGCATTTTAATTCTCACATGTCAAATCTGGAGGAACTGAGAATAATTTAGTTGTTAGGATTTTGATGAACACGTCAATGGAGTCAGATCTTATTAACAAAAAATCACTGTGATGATTACTTTTAATGAAGTAAATGGAAACAGGCATGATGAAGTTCTGAATTTAGATTAAGTATTTTAAAAAATGCTTGTTCTAAACATATACTTTTAAACAGTAACTCCCATCATTTGTCAGAAGGATTGCCATAAGGAAAAAAAAATCTACAAATTCTTACATTTTCCCAAATCATAAACATTAAATATTATTCTAAAAACATGAAAAAGTTCAATTACTGCACAGCTCAGATATTTTAAAGGCGGGGATTAGTGGAGAGATTAGGATCAATTATTATCTTGCATATCTTACGTACATTATTTGAAAGATCTGTAGCTTTAAAAACACACAAATATTAATGAGGTTCACGTAAATACTGTTCATGGGCGTAGCCAGGATTTTGTGTGTATGTGTGTGTGTG